TGTTGAGCAAGAGCAAGAGAAGAGAGGAGAGGAGAAGAGAGAAGAGAGGAGAGTCGAGTGAACTGAAAGCCCTATAGAATACCGGGGGCGAGTGAAAGAATTATTATTTATACTGGCTCAGTCGTACAATATAAACAGAAGAGAAATTACAATAGTACCCTTGTGGTACTAAACCTGAGTACACAAACAACTGTCAACAACCTTCAAATGCATTTTCCTCGGTTATGCACAAACTCAAAAGGGTTATTGCTGCTATGATCCGGTTTCAGGGAAAAGGTTTGTCTCCATGGATGTCACCTTCTTTGAGGAGACACCCTATTATCCTAGGGTTTCTCCTYAGGGGGAGAGCAGTGAGAGTGGGATTTTGAGTCTCTTTCCTCAGGGGGAGCGCAGTGGGAGTGGGGTTGTTCCTTTACCTATTCCACTAGGTGATGAAGGTTGTAGTAATGAGGGTGGTCAGAGGGATCAAGAGTTGAGAGTCTATCACAGGTGATGCAGGCAGGTTGATCCTAGTCATCGGCAGTCCCGGCCAGCTCCAATTCCTTCTGCGGCTCCAGATCCAAAGCCTACTGAGACACCTTCCACTGTTGCCACTTCCCCTCTTGTGGATGACCTTGATCTCCCTATTGTCATCCGCAAAGGGAAACGGCATTGCACCACATCTACAACTCACAGCATCTCACAGTTCTTATCCTATGATCGCCTATCTCCCTCTTACCGGTCCTATCTCACTTCCATTGCCAATGTCCCTATTCCAAGAATAGTGCAAGAAGCCTTATCAGTTCTAGAATGGAAAGATGCAACGCAAGTCGAAATGGATGCCCTGTTGAAGAATAATACTTGGGCACTGGTTGACCTACCAAAATGAAAGAAACCGGTTCGATGTAGATGGGTATTCACTGTGAAGCATAATGCTGATGGCTCTATTGAAAGGTACAAAGCCCGGCTAGTCGCAAAGGGGTTCACCCAGACTTATGGTATAGACTACTTGGAGACCTTTGCCCCAGTAGCCAAGATGACCACCATCCGAGTTYTGTTATCCCTTGCAACAAATCATTCTTGGCCCTTGTTCCAGATGGATGTTAAAAATGCCTTTCTGAATGAAGACTTACAGGAAGAGGTCTACATGCAGTTGCCTCCTGGATTCTATGATACAGAGACAGGTAAGAAGGTTTGCCGACTGAACAAGGCATTGTATGGTTTAAAACAGTCACCTAGAGCCTGGTTTGATAGGTCCAGATTAGCCCTTGGAAAGTTTGGTTATGTACAGGCCCAGTCAGATCATACACTATTCATCAAAAGGGTGGAGTCCTCTCTGACACTACTTGCAGTATATGTTGATGATATTGTGGTGACAGGAAATGA